TGCTATTCTACTCACTAATATGATGATGAAATGAGCATTCAGGTCGTTCTGTGGTGGTGCAGGGGCTGCACGACCCATGTTTGGAGACCTTGAGTCCTCAACACAGCCGTCGTGGGTTCGATTCCCGGACCTGACAATATTTGCTGCATGTCTCCCCCCTGTCCCCTTCCTGTCAGCCTCCTTTCATATAAGGGACACTAGAGCCCAGAAAAAAAAAAAAAACATTTGGCTGAAAAGTGTGACAAATGAATGCCACACTTTTCAAAAATTTGTTTGCTTAAAATAAATAAAAAAATGTCCACTTCTCAATGATGCACAACGTATTTGGGTCTGTTTGTTTTTATGGTGTGATATATTTTGAATTGCCTTGTTGCTTAAACCTATACAAATAAACCTGGCTTAACTTTTTGTGGCGGCTCCAACTCTAGTCTTCGAGTTGAACTTTAAGAAGCTCCAATACAGCCGAATCAAATTATTGAATTATCTCTTCACATCACCATGAATATTGGCAGAGGCCTGATTTGATTCATTCATGTGATTCAGGTGTGTTGAGGCAGGAACGCATCAAGGGTCGGAGATTAAATACCAATCAAATATGTGATGGATTGTTGATAAATGTGGCAAAATGTTTAAGGTATGGATGCTTTTGCATGTTGCTGTCAGAAACGTTTTAAAAAGAGATCATCTTCATGAAGCTGGGCTCTTTCTGCATGATGTTTGCATGTTCTCCCAGTTTATGTGAGGATTCCCTCACATATCCAGAAACATGACTGTCAGGTTAAGTGGGTTGGTTGTTCAGTCTGTCTCCTTGTTGCCTCGTGATGGACTAGCAACCTGCCCAGGCCGCACCCTGCCTCTCACCCAGCGACTACTGTAGATAATGGATGGATTGAGGGATTCATTCATGTAGTCCCAGCTAAGCATTTCACGGCAGAGGTAGGATCTTTTCCCTTCATCTTTAGGAGTTCCTGTTCAGGGCAGACAGAAGTGGTTATTTGGGGACAGCTCTTGGTGAGTTTATGGCCTGAGTGCTTATTTTATTGGAGCTCAGCACATGTGTTGAGGACAGTAAGAGAAGTGCTTTTTCAACGTCTGGCATATGGATGCAATGTAAGATCTTTTAAAATCTCCTTGATGTATTTTTAAAAAGTTGGACTTTGACAGAAGACATGTGGTAAAGTTTTAATTATGAAGATGGAGTCTGGGGGCCAGTTGTCGCCCTCAGGGTGATTCGATGTGGCCCCAAAATGTTATTAAAGAATGAGTGTGATAAGTCGAAGCAAGCAGTTTTAGAAAAACAGTGAATGATGTCCTGCTCTTATTCAATCTTTAGTTTATTGTTGAGCATGAAAAAAGGCAAAAAAAATGTAAATTTTATGTTTTTATTTCAAAATTAGGTTTTTGAAACTTACTGTTCATTTAAAGTTCCCACCACCAGAACCAAACACAGGGAGGCAACATTGAGTTTCTTTTTTGTTGTTTGCCTTTGGGGTTTTTTTTTTTAACAGTATTTCTTTATTTTTTGTTCCTCTTTTAATTAACTTCTTTTTTATCTCTTACTTTTTCTAAGAAGTATGTGGAACTACCTTGTGTGTGAGCGGTGCTTTCCAAACCAACTTCTCTTTACCTAAAACTGTCAAAGTGTATTTGTGTATTAAACGACAGAAAAGAATTAAGCCTGAGATAAGTTGTGGTAGAAATACAGATAATTTTTGCTTCTAGCCCCTGAGAGCATTTTGGCTGTGATTTGGAGGCTGTTGATTGGTTGATGCAGAGGGGAAGAGATGGAGACATTTAGTCTCATCATAGTGAGCGAATAAGCAGAAGTGTGTCCTGCAGTGTGTGCGCATCTGCTGCTCTAATAAAAGCGTCTCGGTGAGGATCAGGTTTCTTTTGAACATGTTGAAGACGACATTTGTTCCCAGTAGTTTATAGTTTCTGGAAAGGCCCGCTCCGGAAGGCTGAGCTGATGCTTCCGAGTTAAGTTTTGTGGGGTTGAGTTTTATAAAGCCCCCGTAGCCCTGCTGGATGGACAAGAGAGAGGCAGTGCGTGCCTTTTAAAAGCCCCTGGCGGGTTTAGTGAGCCACTTGGCTTTTTATTTTGGCTCAGCTCACTGCAGGCTTCTTGTTCTTCGCCGTGCCCCCTCCGTGCCGGCCTGGTGGTTGCAGATTAAGGACGCGCTGAGCAGGAGTCACTCATTACACCGCTGCTCTGTGTGTTTGTGTGTTGGTGTGACGGCTGCAGCGGTGATGAGTGACGCCAGTTGTGGCCTCAGTAGCTTCCCACTGATAAATGACTGCAGGGACCGTCTTTCTCTACCTGAGCCTCACAACGTCGTCCCCAGAGAGCAGCCGCTGACAAATACTGTAACCTGAAAACCGAGCAGGCCTACAAGACAAGTGTTTCATTCTAAATATGACTTTAACCTGCTTAAAGTTGCTGAAGTTCAAACAATAGCAGCCTTCAAATGATGTGCAGGAGTGTGCTGCTGGTTCCCGCACATGTTTGGAGATCGTCCCTGGTGATTCTCATCTCCCAGCAAACTAATATGTTTGAAGCCGGAGCTGCCACCGTCAGGCATACCCCACGAGCTATTTCAAATGTGCAAAAAAATATTGATATTCCTGGCTTCTAAAAACAAAACAAACAAGCAGAGGGGAGTAAAATAAATAAATCTAAGAGGATGTCCCTTGGAATGGCCTCATTCTTCCTCAGAAATCACCTGAGACACCCGATAAACTTCTTTTCCCCCAAACCTACACTTTGCTTGTAGTATAACAGTATTTATTTATAGGAATGCGCCTCTTTCTCTGTATTCTTTTTGCCAAGAAGTTCAAAAGTAAACATTCTCAAATTTAAAAGATTATAACACGATGGATACATGTGAATTCATATGTAATTGTCAAGATGTTTTTTGCTTTGTATGTGTCAGACCAACATGTGAAAAATGTCTTCAGTAAGAGATAACATCTTCTCAATGCATTTCTCACATACAGGCCCTGAGTACATGTTGAATGACTCATAAAACCATCATGCGGTTTCTTCCACTTAAGAGCTGTAAAATGTGACTTTGTCTTAATACTTAAACATGGCATCTGACTGTTCTGCAGCAACAAGAGGGCCATTTTTCAGCTTAATAGCTCCATAAAGAAGCAGATAAAAGAATGCTTTAAAATGCACTTTTTCTTTTAAAAAAATATATAAATATCAAGATTATTAACAGTCAGCTGTGGCTTGTTGTGTAACAAGCTGGTTGTTTGTGGAACAACAAGCACAGCGACAACACATGTCGTGGTACTATTACAGTAATACTGCATTACAGTGCAGTATTAAATTATACTGTAATACAGTTTAATACTACAAATTACATTTGTAGCATCTGTTATTGTACATCATGTTCATTTGCTCAGTTTCCTTTATGTCACCTGGATGTTTAAGTCACTCACTCTTGGTGCAGTAAGGAGTCCTAACCACAAGAGGGACTTATGGATACATGGACATGGAGCTGATGACAAACAAAAAGGTGAAGAAAGAGAACTTTGTTCTAAATGTTGAAATGGAGAGACAGTAATCCTGCAGAGTAATAAACTGTGGGAGGGGCAGAGCACACAGACGCCGTGAAAACCCAAACAACTTGTATTTAATTCCAGATATTTACTTTTGTTTGTTTTCACTGAGTCGAGGACTCCATGGGAGCAATTTTTTCCGTGATGAGTCTGAACTGGAGTCTCTGTGGAGTTCATTACAGTGAAGGAGCCGGTGCCCACCCCCACTGTTCGCTGGCCAAGAGGGAATTTGAGGACCCAGAGGGATGGGTTAGTTTGGGGTGGGGAGAACATGCAGGATGGGCTGCAGGGTGAGAGGGAGAAGGCAGCATGGAGCTAATGACCTGAAACAAACACTGACACTTCAGCAATAATTAGGAGAACGGCAGAAATAAAAGAAAATTGGCTTTGAGTTAAAGATTGATAGTTATTTTTTATCTATGCAGTTAAGGATGCTTTGCAATTGTACCTTCAAAGAGACAGTATAATACCTGTGCTGCACACATCATACACTCACTCAATTTAGATACAACATAAACACCTCAAATTTGACCTTTTACCTACAAGAAATGCTTTTCTGAGTCTCATCCAGACATCCTACCTGGACTTTATCTTTTATAGATCAAATCAAATCTTTTATTTGACTTTATCGAGTCAAAACAAATGATGCAAATGATGCAGGTGTGAAGATGAGGTTTATTTGGTGAGATCAGTGTCATAAAACCACACAAAAAAGCTCAGAAAACTCTATTTCACATTCTTATCACTCATTACGTTAACTTATAAATGGAAGATTTGTGAATCTATCAGTCTTACTGTTTTTATACCAATGATGTGAGGAAATAAAGATCTGTAAAATAACAAGGTGTGATCAGGAAAGTTGTGGCTCTAAACTGTTGCTGCCAATAGCCTTCATTGGGAAGCAGCACCAGGGGTTGACAAGCCATGCTGCAGTGCCACTCCGGTATTCTGGGGTCTGGGTGGATCCAGTTACATCTAACAAGTTCTTGCACCTTATTGCACAGAATTTGGATCCAACAAACTACTCGATCTTCCAGGAAGTCACAGCTGTAGATCTCCCAGGTTCAAGAGGCCATTGATGGTGGAGTCGTGGAGATCGAAGGCTCGGTTTTTCACGTACTTTTTTCCATGATCCTTGGTGAACATTGCAGTTTCACTACTTCAGGCCCTTTTATTTAAAGGAGCGACTGACAAAAACCCAAAGTCCTCAATCTGTACAAGATTCTCTTCTAATTTTCTATCCGTCACTTTACAGGAAACAAGCAAATGTTAGCTTTAAGATATGCAAATTAGTAGCTGCTCCGTGAGCATGTACTTTTTTATTTTCACACTTTAGCAAAGTCAAGCGAAGATCAGACAAAAGATGGCTTCCTCTTCTTGGTGGCGTAGCAGAAATAAAACTTCCTGCCAAGGCAAAGGCAGGCTCTCAGTTGGCGGTGTGACATCACTCCCGTTTGCTCCACTTGAAACCAGAAGCAAGGTTTAGGGTTTGGGGAACAAGTCCAGGAGGCTGCGTCTTCTGATGAGACAGATAAAGCGAATGTAGTTTGAAACAGATCAACGTTTAGGGGGTTTATATTAGAAATAGAGGTTCGGTTTGGCGCCGGTTTGTTCTTCACCCTCTTTTGGACCCGGCTCGGCTTGAATCGTGGGTGCTCACACACACCCTTACACCCCGGACATGGCGGGTCTCCGAGGTCTGATGATCTTGCTGGTCCTGATGGTTGGTTTGGCTCGCTGTAAGTACTCCAAAAAATATGATAAAAGTGAAGCTTTTTTATGAGCTGGTTGAAGGAGGGAAGTGATGCATTCAATGTCTTCTTGGGTCTGTCTACTGACAGTTTGTGTAAAAATGGTTTTCATTTAAAAAATACAAAAAAACATTGACACGATGATGTCTAACCTCCTAAGTTAAGTTTCTGAACTTGCAGCAGATTGTTGTTTGGTGTGTGATGGTGTTTATGGTAAAAGGTGAATTATTTTTTGGAGTCTGTCATCGTTTTTCTTTCAAAAGAAGTAGAAAACACCAGCAAACAAAATGTAATCATTCAAACTGATATGGAACACTTTAGAAAGTTTTTCTCTTAGTTTTTATTTCCAAACAAAAACCTCATACAGCCATTTATTTCACATTATGGTCAGAACCCAAAAAGTTTCTATCCTTGCTCAGCCAAACCTGTACCTTACACCTTTTACAGTAGATGTGCGCAAAGTGATTTCCAGAACAGTGCTTTCATCTCTGCTGGGCTTCCCATGTTGGAAAATGATCAATGCCATTCCTTCTCACATCAAGAGGCACAAAGCAGCTTGGTCTTCTACAGGCTTCCGTTGAAGTCGCCTGAGCAGAGGGAAGTGGTCGACCAAACTTGATTTTGACCTTTCCTGCACTTGTAGAAGTGCAAAACTAAATCATTTGACATTGTAGCTTCAGCTAATCTCTTCTGCAGAGGTTTGAAGCATTAATGATGGTTACTGTAACAATGTGCCACAACATGCACCATCTTTGGTATCCAAAGCCAAACTTCAGGCAGGCTGATAATATATCAAGAAGAGCAAGAGCTCCCATGAACTCATGATTCAACAATGGCTTCATTAATTAATTGAAGAGTGGAAGAGGGTGAATGGACCTCAGAGTGAACCAAGACAAGAACCTAATAGTGATCTAGTATAATAGGAACTTAATTTGTTGGCATTGAACCAGTGGAAACTCCTGGAGCTTTTCATTGGTGACCAAATGCGGTTCTGTCATGTTGTCAGAGCAACCAGGTTTGACAGCGCTGCCTCATCCAGATAAGTCGGCCATCTTCCTCTTTCGGGTTGATAATGCTTTCACATTTTTCTTCTGTTTTTAGCAGAAAGAAAATGATCCCAGATGAATGACATATTAAACAAAACCTGTTTGTTTTTTAAAATGTATATGTAATGTGATGGTGTTTCTGATTTCTTTACATCATTTTCTTTTCTTTATATTTTCAGGTGAATACAACACCAGTAAGTAGTGATTCATATTTAGCTAAAATAACATTTTGGTTAAATATGTATTTATTCATTAATACAAATGTTCTGTTTCTAAAAGCCTCCAGCTTTGCTTCATGTTGTCCAAACCTTTAAAGCTGCTCAGTCTTGTTTATTGTTGCTGTCCAACAAAAAACAAATCTAAGATTAAATCTATAATTCACTGGAGAAAACTACAGAGCTTCTTGTCTTATAGTTTTAAAAAGCAGATGAATTTTGGACAATGGAAAGATAAATTAGAGTCGCGGTTCACCAGATTATTTTTGACAATAAATTGAAACCTGCAAAAGTTGGTGTTAAGTTTGTGGGATTTTTATAACACAGGAACAGCTTTGTCTGTTGGTGGGAGTGTAAAGAATAAAATTGTCTTTGTGAGTTGATTATAAAGTGTAAACCATGCAGACTCCTCAGGTTTTCAGAGATCTGCTCACTCTGTGTCTACAGGACAAGTAGAGACAGCATGTAGTCTCTATGCTCTCTAGATCTAGAAGAAACTTCCTGAAAACCTGAGAAACTCTTGGCTCCTTTAAATTCAAACAATGTTTCTGTTCCCAGCTGCTTTCGATCAAAGCATTTCTTTCTCTTTTCCAAAGCTTTCATGCTTATGCTTTATCATTTATTGCCTCTTTTTGTGTCCTGTTAACCTGTTTGGACTAACTTGTATATGAATGACACTGTTAAAATAAACCTGCTTTACCTTCTAGTGATGTAGAGGTTAAACCATTATAACACTGAGCTTGAGGTAAAATAGTGAGAAACTGGTATTTAATGAGGTTTAATTCAGATGTTAGGTTGGTTCATTAATCGTTTCAAGAGTTTTATTATTTTCAGTGACGTTGAAAATAAGACATTAACTTTAGGTTTAACTGCACAGCAGAAACTCTTTGTATTAATGTGGACATTGTGTAAGTATTTAGATGCAATAGATTTGGTCTTAATGAGAATCAACTTTTTATATATATAGATAGATTATAAATAGTCTGATCAATAAATCAACTTTTTTTCACATTTATTCTACCTTTTAAATATCTTTGAGCAAATGTCTTGTAAAACATTGAGGATGGAGAGGATCAGTTCCTTCAGCTAAATGTTCAATTCTTTACTTTAAGAAGAACTGATATTGATGTTGATTTTTATATTTTTAGCCTCCTTACCTCCACGCACTGGAGAAGGTGAGTATTATTTAAAAAAATATCTTAGTTTTTGAATTATAAAATTAGTTGTTCTTTAAGAATCATAGAAGGTAAGAAACTTGGTAGTGGATTTCTTCAGCTTGATGGTGACCTCCGCATGTTTTCCAACCAGCAGTCAATACCTCACCTGCAAGCACCTCAAATGAGACTCCAACCACCACCCAGTCATCTTCTCAGACAAACACAACCATGACGCCCACCACAGGTTGGAACTTTAAATATTTAATTTGGGACTTTAACAAGTTTGTTAAGATATAGACTATGGATTACAGACAGTAGGTCAACAGTAGGTCTGCCAAGACAGAAATCAGGTAACTGTAGATTTAAGATGGTTTGAGAAAATGTTTCAGTTTTTAACTTTTTTCATTTTCCCTCTCGCAGCTCAACCCAAACCAGATCCAACGTGTGAGTATCAGATTTTACTCACGTTGAACAATTGTTTATTGAAGGTGCTCTTTTTTCTGAGATTAGACAGGCTGACACTAGATGTACGTGTTGTTTATATAACAATCAGTATAAATACACCAAACTAAGCTCTGCTCACTATAACGTCACTGTAACTTCAATATTTAAGCCACATTGATCTCTGTTCAAACACAGACAACAGCAAAGCCCTCATTGGCTGTTTGGTCTTCCTCATCATCTTCATCATCCTCTGTGTGGCGTTCTTCATCAGGAAGACGAGAAAATCCAGGAAGTAAAACCTATTCAGCTTTCATATTTATGTTTGTTGATTTTCATTGTTAATTCGATCATGTTTGTCTAAAATTAATTGATTTTCTCCACAGTGATAATGAAGAACAGAATTGCTTCTCAACAGCCAGTGAGTAAATTTCAGGCAGAATCACTGATTATAACAAACAGCATGTTTAATATCAGCTTTTAGTTAAATGATCACATAATGTCTGGTAGATCTGCTGGAATTCATAGCATGTTTTAGATTGTTTTATATTAGATCAAAGTGAAAAAGAAAAATTCTTGACAAGGTTTTCATGCATTTTCCCCCCTTTTCTTGTTGCAGTCTATGCCAACATGCCACCTCCCAAAGACAACCAGTGATTATCTGATGGAGCTGCAGAACAAGAAAACATTGAAAGTTTTTATATTATGTCTGAAAATTTTAATCTTGAATACTGCAGCCGATGGTACAATGTTTAGTTATATCACTTCATGGAGATTTTCTGGATTTTACTCCAGATTTTTGTTTTTTCATATCAGGGAAAGTAAGAATAAAAGTATATAGATGTCGTCTTCATGTAATGACATATTTTCTCTTGTTGTTACAATCTATGTTAAAATGCCACCTTCCAAATGAAATCATGACGACTACTGATGAAGATCTGAAGAAGCTTCAGATCAAAACACTGTTTAATGTTCTTATTGTATGTCATTGCAAACGTACCGAAAATATGAGAAAAGATGAGATGTAATGTAACTGTAAATACATGAATTGTCTAAACTCAGTATTAGTTTTCAGCATGTTATGTTATTTATTGACACCAAATGGATTGAACAGCATTGTTTATTAAAAACAGACATGCCAATAAATACATAAAAAGCACATTTCATTGGCTTCAAAAGAAAATAGTCTCTCATATCTACAAGCCTGGAAAACTGATCTGCAAACGGAAATTCCTGAGGATGAATGGAGTAACTCATGTTTATTGGCACAAACGCAAACTATTAACACAAGATTTAGACTATTGCAATACAAATGGTTATTTAGAACGTATATCACTCCTGTAAAACTTCATCATTTTAATTCAAATATTCCTGATATCTGTGTTAAATGTAATATAGATAAGGGTACTCTTTTCCATTGTATGTGGCAATGTGTAGAACTTCAAACTTTCTGGAAGGAGGTTATTATGTTCATCTCTCGTTTGATCGAACAGGATGTTCCAATGGACAGTAAACTTTGCTTACTGCATATTTTCCCAGATGGATTTAGAGGTCCTACAAAGAGACAGAAGCTTGTGACTTTTTGCTCTTGCAGGCTAAACATTTAATTGCTCTGAAGTGGAGGAACACAGAAAGACCAAAGATAAATGAATGGATCAAACTATTGGGCAACAACCTGGCAATGGAAAAGCTGACATATTCAACAAAAGGGAAGCTTGAAGACTTTAAAGATATTTGGTTTCCTTTCTTACATTTTGTCAAATACTGTGATATGTAAAGCTAATTTTTCTTTTCTTTTTTTGTGTAGATGGAGTGAGCCCTGGGGTTCAGTGTTCTTTTTGGTGGGGGGAGGGAATGCGCTGTAGGTATTTTTTTTTTTTTTTTTTTTTAGGTTCTGTTTGTTTTTGTATGTCTGTATAACAGAAAATCCTAATAAAACTATCTTGAAAAAAAAAAAAAAAAAAAGCACATTTCAAGGTCAATTTATTGTTGATGCTTGAACATCACCATATTTATACATTATTTTACATGTAGCATATAAAACAAGCTGCAAGTTTCCTCTAAATGATCTCTTTCTTCTCGAACACATGTGTCAAACTCAAGGCCCGGGGGCCAAATCCAGCCCGCCGTAGTTTTTTATGTGGCCCTCCACAGTGTAGACTAAACACCAAGTGTGATTAAATATTATATTATCAATTGTATCAATGCAGTTTTCATCTGTTTACTGCCAATTTATATCAATCAATCAATCCAGTTTCTTGAGAATTTAGTTGATTAGTTTTCGAATTTATACAGCAAGTAAATAAATAGTCGCATTTATTATTAGTTCCTGAAGGAACTGAAAAGATCTTCAATAATATTATGTAATTTTAAGAGTTCATTGACATATTAACAGTTTGTGAACAGGTTTCAAAACATTCTGGCACAACCGGCCCTTTAAGAGCCTTCATGATCTTGATTTGGCCCAAAAGGAAAATGAGTTTGACACACCTGTTCTAGAATATGCAACAGCAGCTTCGTGCTTTGCTTTCACCGCAGACCACTACCTCTTCATTCTCTGTTGTCTCGATGACTGCAGCATGTATTTCTGGCATGTCTACATTCACCGTAGGCTAACCGCAGCACTGCACATGAAGTGAATTCACACAAACATTACATTTTTTTTCACATAGATAAAAAAAAAGTCCTAATAACTGCCAGATACGCAGTTTGGTCCAAGAACATTAATTATTATGAAGTCATTTACCTGGATTTATTTATTTTTTTCTTAACTGCAGAGCAAAGATACAACAATGCAAAAATTGACAAATATCTGCAAGCCCAGAACAAACCGTAGGATTTATTAGAACCCATTTCTAGAGCTGTGTGGTCTTGGCGTGTGGTTTTCTTCTTTTCCTGTTCAATGCTTTGCAATAGAAAAGCAAAAAGTTTGGTTCTGCAGCTCAGTCCGGCTCCCAGGTGCTGATGGAATGAAATATTTTGCATCAGTTACTGAGACAGTTGATGCTCCTGGTCATGGCAGGTCTGAGTGACGTTATCTTGCTGATATGGGCCGTAAATGTCCTGGTCCTGGGTAAGTAACATTTACTATCTTCCTCTTACGGGTTGATAATGTTTTCACATTTTTCTTTTGATTTTAACAGACAGAAAATGAACCCGATGAATAAAATATATATAAAAAAACTGTTGTTTTCTTTTTAATGTATATTAACGTGATGGTGTTTCTGATTTCTTTACATCATTTTCTTTTCTTTTTATATTTTCAGGTAAAGACAACACCAGTAAGTAGTGATTCATATTTAGCTAAAATAACATTTTGGTTAAATATGTATTTATTCATTAATACAAATGTTCTGTTCCTAAAAGCCTCCAGCTTTGCTTCATGTTGCCCAAACCTTTAAAGCTGCTCAGTCTTGTTTATTGTTGCTGTCCAACAAAAAACAAATCTAAGATTAAATCTATAATTCACTGAAGAAAACTACAGAGCCTCTTGTCTTATAGTTTTAAAATGCAGATGTTTTAAGGACAATGGAAAGATAAATTAGAGTCGCGGTTCACCAGATTATTTTTGACAATAAACTGAAACCTGCAAAAGTTGGTGTTAAGTACTTGGAACTTTAAATATTTAATTTGGGACTTTAACAAGTTTGTTAAGATATAGACTATGGATTACAGACAGTAGGTCATCAGTAGGTCTGCCAAGACAGAAATCAGGTAACTGTAGATTTAAGATGGTTTGAGAAAATGTTTCAGTTTTTAACTTTTTTCATTTTCCCTCTCGCAGCTCAACCCAAACCAGATCCAACGTGTGAGTATCAGATTTGAGGTTATGAACAATTGTTTAATGAAGGTGCTCTTTTTTCTGAGATTGTATAATAAAAAAAATTGTTTTGCTTTTAATTTCATTCTAACAGCTTGAGATAAAACCTTGAAGTTTTATTTGAGCTCAGATGTAAAACTGTTGCTTTGCAGGTTCCTACAGTGTTGAGACGATCGAGTTTGGTCTGAAGATACAGATGACAGATTTTACTCCTAACAACTTCACCGTATATGTTGCTGAGATCGGGAGATTTATTTGAAAGGAAAGACGATTTTAACACCAATAAAAACTCAACTTATGACATCAAACCTCTGAAGCCGTGCACTGAATATGAGCTAAAAGTCACATTTAGTGACTCCAATGGTACAGAAATATCCTGTAACACAACCAAAGATAAAACAACAACTGGAATGAGTGAGTAAAATGTTTCATATTTTATCTTTACTTTATTATTGACTGAAATGAGATTCTGTGAGAACTGAGACAAATATTGTTTCTGTGTTTCAGCTGATCGAGACATACTAAAAGCATCCTGCCCTCCTGGATATTTCTGTTACCAAAGTGGTTGGAACATCAACTCTTTACTATCAGAAAACAACAAAGTTTCAATTGAAGATTTCAAAAATGGATCGTATCGTTTCAAACACGTTTATGACGACATGTGTTCAGATTTAGTTTTAACGTTCCCAGTAAACTGCTCCAATGCCACATTTACCAAATCTGAAACCTTCACTGTTGGTATGAACAAAAACATATAATAATAATTAATATGATTATCAAATCTGTGGATGTGACATTAGTTTCACTAAACTGGTATTTTTTTATTCTTCAGATTCATTGATCCAAATGACATAAATCAGACTAAACCTGATAAACTTCCTGCAGAGATAAAACCTGAGTTTCCATTAAGCTGCAAAAATCTCAGTGTTGATTATAAATGTTCAGGTGAGTAAAAACTACAACTATGAAAAACAATTTAAAAACTATATAGAGTAGAAAACTACAGATTCTGCCTTAACAATACATGATAAATATTTTCCTAAATGTTTTAACACTTTTTGTAAATTGTGTCAAAATGTAAAGAATAAATCAAACAGCTGATCAGTGTTAATATGCAGCCGCTGCAGAAATGACTAAATGTTTGTGTTTCTTCAGAAATCAACAATCAATCTGTTGAACCGTTAAACATGAAGCCGTTCACAAACTACAGCTGCACTGGTGACATCAAGATGAACAATGTCTCCATAAATAAGACACTTCCACCTGTCCAGTTCAACATTCACTGTGGTGAGTTGGTATTTACTGCACTGGAAATAAGAACAAAGTTATTATACTAACAACACAGAGAGAAAATCACTATCAGGACATCATTCATTGTTTTTGCTTTTCTATTGCTACAGATTTTACAGTAACCAACCTGAAGAACAGTTCAACCAGTACATCCATTAAGCTGAACTGGGAAACAACGAGTGAAAAATGTCAAGGTGTTCTAGACAAACTGGATTTGCTCTCTTATAAGTGCGAGTGTGAGCAAGATGTGGAAGGCAAGTGAAATAAATAGATTTAGTTTAATGTTTATTACATTTGGATTAGCACAAATTCCACTTAAAATAAATCTATTTTACACAAACTCCATGAGGAGATAAAAATGTGTAAAACAACCAGATGTGATCAGTGAAGCTGTGACTCTAAACTATCACTGATCTGAGGATAATTTTAACGGAAATGTTTCTTTAATGTTTGACATGAGAAACAGACCAAACTCTGTTTCAACATGATAATCATTTTTAAGATTATAAAGATCTTTTATAACAAGCTGCTGTTGTCAAACCAAACACAAAACAGGTTCTGGAAAATATAAAAAAATTACAGAAAAGACGATTTATCAATCTGAAGGAAGAAAGTGTGTCTTCGAGGAAGGAGTTAAACCATTCAGGGATTACAGATGTAACGTCAAACACATTTACGCTGGAAAAGGTGATTTTGGAGCAACAACAGTTAAAGGAAAGACTGAGCCTGGAAGTAAGTAACCGAGAAAATATGTTTTTTGAAATAATAATATAATCTCCAAACACTGTCTGATTTAAATTAATTTGATATAAATTTCTGTGTGAATTTCTTGTTTTTATGCTTTGTTTGGCTAAAGGTATAAACAGTAAATGTATCTGTTAGGAAATTCAACTCTTTTTTAACAAATTAAGTCAGAAATTTAGTTTTTGGATTTAGACACAGTCAATCTAGAATCAGTTATAATTTTAAATGAGTTTTATTGCAATCCAGTTGAATTATTACAGTATTGAAAGTCATTATTCTTTCATATGGTTTTCCATGCAAAAACGTCAAATTGTTTTCAAAACACAAACTGCGTCTCAACATATTCCATCATTGTAAAGTTCTGTGTCGACAAGAACAATAACAAGTTAGTTTAGACCCATAAATTCATAAATTTGTTCTGGATAATTGAGAAATCCTTGTTGGTAAATTAAATATGGTTGGTAAAATAACAAAAAAACAAAGTAGTGATGTTGAGTTCTCTTAATATTTTTATTTGGACAGCAGATAAAATATTAACATAAATCTATCTGCATTACAGTGTCATGGTTAGTTAAAGTAAGTTAGATATTTTTACATTTTTGTTCAGTGTTTGGTCAATTACAAACCTGGTCGTGTTTCTTTTTAAATCATTTTCATGTTTTGGTTTCAGGTTTTATAGGAAGAAAAGATTTTCCTCCCCATGTGTTTGTCTTGATATTTATTCTCTCTCTTCTTCTTTCAGTACCAGAACCACCTCGTAACCTTGACGTTCAAGTTACAGAGAACAATAAGATTGAAGTGAGATGTTCATTAAAGGACATTGATTTTAATGGACCAGACAGAAAATTCATTGCAGAACTTCAAGATGTTGCTGGCAGCAGAAAGTCTAACACAACATGTCACTTTGAATTCAAAGATCTGAGCTACTTAACATCCTACACAGTGAAGGTTTGTAACAACCAGGATCTGTTCATAACTCTGATTTTATTACTGGACTTAATTTGGATGTTTTGAATCCTAACAAGAAGCATTTTGTTATTACAGGTGTTTACTTCCAACAGAAATTTTATCAGCTCACCTGTGAGTAGACAGGCTGACACTAGATGTACGTACCATTTCATTCAATCATGCTTCGTTCCACATGTTCACACTTTCCAAATGCATTTCTACAAATTTCTTCTTAAAAGGATCAATGTTTAATTTCATTTTTTAGATAATGACAAAGCTCTTATTGGATTTCTGGTCTTCCTCATCATCATCACCTCTGTGGCTTTTCTCCTCTATAAGATCTACGTGTTGAAACACAGAAAGTCCCAGTAAGGATGTTCTGTTTTCTCAGCAGGCCGGTTCTGCTCTTTGTTCAGTTGTGACCACAGAGGATTTTTTACAATCAGTATAAATACACCAAACTCAGCTCTGCTCACTGTAACTTCAATATTAAAGGTTGATTGACCTCTGTTAAAACACAGACACCAGCAAAGCCCCCATTGGCTGTTTGAGAGCCGATGAAGAACGCCACACAGAGGATGATCTTCATCATCCTCTGTGTGGCGTTCTTCATCAGGAAGAGGAGAAAATCCAGGAAGTAAAACCTATTCAGCTTTCATATTTATGTTTGTTGATTTTCATTGTTAATTCGATCATGTTTGTCTAAAATTAATTGATTTTCTTCACAGTGATAATGAAGAACAGAATTGCTTCTCAACAGCCAGTGAGTAAATTTCAGGCAGAATCACTGATTATAACAAACAGCATGTTTAATATCAGCTTTTAGTTAAAATCACCACATAATAGCATGTTTTAGATTGTTTTATATTATATCAAAGTGAAAAAGAAAAATTCTTGACGAGGTTTTCATGCATTTTTTCCCCTTTTCTTGTTGCAGTCTATGCCAACTTGCCACCTCCCAAAGACAACCAGTGATTATCTGATGGAGCTGCAGATCAAGAAAACATTGAAAGTTTTTATATTATTATGTCTGAAAAATTTTAATCTTGAATACTGCAGCCGATGGTACAATGTTTAGTTATATCACTTCATGGAGATTTCCTGGATTTTACTCCAGATTTTTGTTTGTTTCATATCAGGGAAAGTAAGAATAAAAGTATATGAATGTCGTCTTCATGTAATGACATATTTTCTCTTGTTGTTACAATCTATGTTAAAATGCCACCTTCCAAATGAAATCATGACGACTACTGATGAAGATCTGAAGAAGCTTCAGATCAAAACACTGTTTAATGTTCTTATTTTATGGCATTGCAAACGTACCGAAAATATGAGAAAAGATGAGATGTAATGTAACTGTAAATACATAAATTGTCTAAACTCAGTATTAGTTTTCAGCATGTTATGTTATTTATTGACACCAAATGGATTGAACAGCATTGTTTATTAAAAACAGACATGCCAATAAATACATAAAAA